CGCCAATCCCCGCCAGCAAGAAGCACCTGGCCGCGGACTGGGATGCCGAGCGCCGCGACACGCCCTCCCGCGACACGACCAAGCAGGCCGCACCCACGCCCTTCTCAGCGCCGGCGCCGGCGGCAGTGCCCGCCAGAGCCAAGGAGGCGCAGCCGACGCCGCGCGCGGCAGCGGCTAGCGGGCCGCCAGCGGCAGCGCTCACTGGCGATGTGCTAACGCAGGCAGGCGTTGAGGAGCGGGAGGCCGCCGCCGAGAGTGCGGCTCCGCACGACGTGGCACCCGAGGAGGTGCGGCTCAGCGGCGCTGAGCAGCTGTCACGGGCGCAGCTGCCCCCAGCGCCGGTGCACGCCGAGGCGGCGGGGCAGCTGGCAACCGAGGAGGCGAGCCAGGAGGAGCCGGCGGCCCAGCTCACGGCAGCCGGCCTGCCCTCGCCGGTGGCGCCGCCCAGCAGCATGCAGCTGCCGCTGCGCGCGCCGCTGGAGCCGGCGGGTGCGGAGGACGAGGCCGAGGAGGCCGGGGGATACGGGGCCGCGCAGCCTGCGGCCCCTGCGACGACTCCCACCATGGCAATGCCAGTAGACGCCCCGGTGCCCGCCCAGGCCCCCGCCGCGCCCCAGCCCAAGCCGGCAGCCAGGGGTGCCGCCTCGGCCGCGGCACAGGCGGTCAAGTCGCCCGCAGCCAGGGGGACCCCCGCCAGGACCCACGGCTCCAAGGCGCCCGCCACACCGCCGGCCCGGTCGCCGGCGGCCCGGGCCGCAGGGCCGCCCGCTGCCGCCCCCGGAGCCAGGGCCCCGCCGGCCGCGACGCCCACGCCGCCGCGCGCCGCCAAGTCGGCTTTCGGAAGGGCCGCTGCCGCCGCTACGACGCCGCCGCCCCAGGACGCCGCCGCCGCGGCGGGCGGCCCGCGGGGGCCTGCGCGCACGCCGCAGCGGGCAGAGGCGTGTGGCAAGAGCCCCAGCTTTGCGCGGCCCACGGCTGCGTCGCTGGCCAGGGCGCAGTCCGGAAAGCAGGCGTGAACATGGCTACGGCCGTGGTGATATCACAGCCCACAGGCCGGGTGGGTGATTATCAGCCAATTTCTGGCACGGCGTGCAGGAAACCAGGACGCCTAAGGGTCTTAGCGGACCTCGCCAGCCCTCGTCCGCGCGCCGCCGGCGTTTGGTGGCGGGGGCGCACGCGGCCCACGAGGTAGCTGGGTGCGCCTGGTCAGACGGGGGGCCATAAGATGACCGGATGACGTGGCGTCACCGGTGGGCTGATTGAATTGCCATGTGTTTGGCAGGGGGTGCGGCGCCGCCTTCAGACAGCCAGCGCCCTCAAAGCGCTTTATCAGGGGCGTTAGCAGGAGCTGGACTGCGGCGGCGAGGTTCACGGGTGTGGGGGGGGGCTGTGGAGGCCTGGCAAGGCCAAGTGGGGCATGACACGTTTGGCCTGTGAGTAAATGCTGCGCCCCGCCGGGCTGCTGCGGCCCTGTTTGCTTGTAAATATGCTCATTTCATGGGCGACCTGAGGGATCAGGACTGGGCCTGCCTGCTGCCCGCGGTGCAGTGTACACGCGCAAAAAGCACCACAGCGGCAAAAACTGTGTGATGTGGGCCGTGTCTGTCATTCTCACTATTTTCCCCAGACGTCCCTTTGTGTAACCCTGCCAGATGTGCGCATGCAAATTATGTCTTCGCTGGGACGCACTGGCCAGTCATGCCTTCACCGCTTCTGATGCGCCAAGACAGAGCAACTGGCAGGCTGAGAGGTGGCACACCCCTACGAGGGCGCAAGTACGGGGGGCCTGTGCAGCCGTGGTCCACCGGGAGGACATGGCCGCGCTGGCTGCCAGGGGGGGCCTGGTGCTGGATGAGGACGGGGACCTGGCCCTGGTGGGTGGCGGGGGGGGGGGTTGGGGTTAGAGGGGTGCGTGTGTGCATGCGTGTGTGTGTGTGTGTGTGTGTGTGTGTGTGTGTGTGAGTGAGAGAGTGAGAGAGACCGAGCTTCCAAGCTCATCAGCCACGAGATACGTACATGTAACCTAAAGTGACTCTTAATAGTGTTATTTGCAGACAAAAGGCGTGCAAGATAGCCCTGTGCCCAGATCTTGCTCGTGCCATTCAGCAGATGAAGCGGCTAAGTTGTAAGCTCTGAACTGGATGCCCGTGCCGTATGCGGCAATGCCGCATGCTGGCTTGGCTGGCGGGAAGAACTCAATCGGCCAGCCTCAGTCAGTCCGACTTGTGAGTCAGCAACCCTGGGCAAGTGCGTGCTCTCGCACCCAGGGTTGCTGGATTCGACCGCCCTGTGTTGTGAGTTGCAAACGTTGATACAGATTACCCAGCTTGCATGCGCAGCTACGCACAAAACACGGCATTGATTGGCCAAACATGCAAGGTGAAGATGTTGTAGACCATGTCAAAGGTTGGGTGCCGATGGGTGCAAAATCATGACTGGGCATGCATGCATGTATGCTGCACCCGCAGAGTAGAGTAGAGTAGACCGGGCTATGGGCACCCAGTACGTATGGACAGGCGCAGGGCGTCAGGGCAACCGCCCGTCCCCCTGCTGCATGCCCCACCAGAGTGGGGGACCCGGCGACCCACCGCTGGGCGCTTAGGCAGCGTCAGTTGACGCCCCTTCCGATGTTGCCTCGCACACAACATGTGCCTATGACATTGAGAGATGGACCCCGCACGGCTGTGCGTGCGAAATCATGGTGGCCTGGTTTTTTCCGCTGCCTTGTCCTCACCACCACGTGCGTGCCTTGCCGCCGATGCTTCCGCCCACACAGATCCCTTGAGAGCCCTGCGCGCTTTGATGACCCGGCCGGGTCATCAAACGCGGTGGGTGTGACACAGAGCACTGCCATGCAGGTCACGGCGCACGCGGGCTAGGTCCTTCTGCTCCCTCCCAGCTGCAGCAGCTGCAGAGTTCGGTCACATGTGAGCTTGCTGGGTCCCCCGAACGACCCTCAGGGGTATGATGTGCAGGCGGCGAGTTGGCCCGGCTTTGAGGACGGCCGCTTCATGAGCAGCAGGCGGTGTTGGCTCTCAGCTGTGTCACATATGCACCCTGTCCAAGTCATAATCCATAGGTACCTCAGCTCGACCACGACAGCAGTCCGTCTTGGGCCCCTGGTCAGGCTCCTTTGGTTGCTCCTCAATCATCACTGTTTTTGGGCGGCTGAGCCTGCAGTTAGCGGGCGACGAAGGTCGCCTGCGCGGGGAATGCCATTGCTGCCGTCATGTTGCTCGGACCTAGTCGCGCCCGCAGGCGGCGAGCCGGCGGCCACCCCTCGAAGTTGCGTGGGCCACCCGCAGACCCGCTTGGGCCTGCGGCAAGGTTGTGTTATTTCGCGGCAAAGGTGCACGGGAGGGTGATGCGTGGCCGCTCAGGTTGCCACCAAGCAGACTGTCCACGCGCGAGCCGCGGGCCTACTACATGCCTGTCTCAGGCCTGCCTCTACACCCAGCTAGCACTACGAGTTACACAGATGCTACATGTTACAATGAGGTTTGAGATGTTTGACGTGAAAAACGTACATTTATATAATTGTGTCAACTGTGCGCTTTGAGCCCTTCTACCTCTCTCGCCGTGCTCCGTCACCGGCATCTGCGGCGCTCTCGCCGCTTGAATCGCGGATCCGACCATCTGGAATCACAGTACAGTATTGGTGTTCTAACGGTTGAAGGT